AATGTATTATTTCAATTTAATTACTATTTTTACTATAATTATTTTCATTATAATTTTAAAATAATTCTTATTTTTTTACATTTTAAATGAGTAAATACTAAACAATAAATTAAAATGGAAAATTAATGCTGTCTCCTTAATTTAAAATAATGCTTTAATTGCAAAATTTATTAGTAGTAATAATACAATTGCAGAATGAATTTGTTTTATTAGCAATATAATAGAATATTTTAGTAAAATTAATATTTTAGATTAAATATTAGATATACTAAATTATATTATTAATAATATTATATCCAAATTATTTAGATTGTAATTTAATTATTATTTTTTAATTTTAGATTTGTAAATACGAAACATTAACATTACCTTGAAATATTACAGTAAAAATTATTGTTGTCACTCTAATTTAGATTAATGCTCTATTGGCAGAATTAAGTAGTGTTAAAATACTAATTTAGATTAATTAAAATATAACTATATGGTATTTTAATAAAATGAATAAAATGTTATTTTATATTTTTTATTGTATATTATTTTTATATTAAAATACTAAACATTTATTATTATATACTAATTATTATATAGAGATATTTCCCTTTAAATAGCTTCAGTGTAGTAAGCTTAGCTACTTTTACTTCAGCACCAATGCTCAGTATTACCAAAACTACAGAAAGACTGCTATGATTACATCTTTTTTACACTAAACTGAAGCCAATGATAGCAATCTTTCTGCAGTACTGGTACCAAATCAATTCGCCAACCCTTGTGTGTGACTGACAGGTGACAGCAGATGTGTGTCAAAATAGATCTGCCTATTATCATCCCTAATAAAAGGCTGGAAAAGGGGATCCGACACATCTGAGACTGAACCCGTGCCTCCCACGTGAGGACCATGGCTCAACATGTCAGACTGTGTGCTAACCACTAAGCCAGGACATTAGCTGCTGAACAATGAGCATCAAAATGTGCTGTGCATGTTATTTTAAGAATTATTGACAAAGGTGAATCCAGTAATGGACACATGGACCTGCAGCACCTGAGCAGAAAATGCCATAAAAAAAGAATTACGTGGAGCGGTTACCAATAGCAACCCCGTGTGCAAAGCCCACACACTGTAAAAATGAATATAAAACTCCCGGTGATTCACTGAGGCTTTTCCCTTTAGCGGGAATAATCGATGATAACAGATGTTACGGTCAGAGGTGCGGCGTTTGATTTACCCTCTTACAGCACCACCGCACAAGACAGCACAGAAAGGAGGGATTTGATCATTTTCAGTTGCTAATTTCTAGGAGGAGCTAAAAATAGACACTTTTCATTGGTTTTTAAAGGGGTAGTTCACCCCAAAATGATATTTGCTGTTAATTTACTCACCCCTCAAGCCATCCAAGATGACTTTTTTCTTCAGTAGAACAGTAAAGAAGATTTTTTTAGCAGAAACTGTAGTCCTTGCTGATTCATAAAATGCAAGTCAATGGCTACCATCACTTTAGAGTCCAAAAAGCATGTACAGGCAAGACAAAATTATTACTCATGGCTTCTGATGATATATTGAGGTCTTATGAAGTGAAACGTTTGGTCTGTGCAAGAAACTGAATAGTATTTGTAACATTATTACCTGTAATCCAGAGCCTCAGGCAAACAGAGTTTGATTCTTTTCCTTAAACTGACTCTTTCAGACAGTTCATTTCAATAAACTGATTCAAATGAACTGATTCACTAGTTCGTTTACGCAATCAATGCATAATAACGTTGTAAATAATGTTCAGTTTCTTGCACAGACCGGTTGTTTCGCTTCATAAGACCTCAATATATTGTCATGAGCCACAGGTATTAATTTTGTGTTGCCTGATAGGCTCTTTTATGACTCCAAAAGTGACGGTAGCTGTTGAATTGCACTTTATGAATCACCAAGGACCACGGTTTCAGCTAAAAATCATCTATGTTCTACTGAAGAAAAAAGCCATCTTGGGTGACATAAGAGTAAGTAAATTAATAGTAAATTTCATTTTTGGGTGAACTATTTCTTTAATATTGGTTATGAATGTGAGGCTGATTGATGCAGTGATTTTATTATTAGGAACGTGCAAATACTCATTTAACATGTGAAGAAGAAATCTTAAGGTAAGGCTTTAAAAAAAAACAAGCTAATTAAATCAAGGATAAGAGTGAAGGTGAAAAATGATGATGAAAGGATATCGGGAGAAAAAAACAGTAAGATATTAAGTTCTGTAATACAAAATCATGACTATTTGCGCAATGCGCTGAGAAAATGATGCCGCATTGTTTGGTTGGTGAGAGCATAAGGATGGCAGCTTTGCTTTCAGCGCCTGTTGATTCTCTCATAGGAGCATTTCTATTAAATTGTATGAGGACACGGCTAGAAGGAAAGTATTCTGACAACTTGCATCAAGAGATTTACCCGAGATTCGCATTTACTTGAAATTGCATTTCATGGGGGCCTCCACACTGTGTGAACGCTCCTGTATCCATTAGCTCCCAGCACATTTATTTTTAATAAAACCCCCTCAAATCTCTCCGGCTCTGTTGCACAACATAGTGAGTGACTTCTAAGGACCAGCATCCAAACCACCATGGAACTACATACGTGACTTATCTGGAACGCTCTACAAATGCAGTAACTCATACAAATAGTGCTCCTCATGCGAAGCACGCCACAGATTCGACTCAATCGATTTCAATGAATTGGCATTAATATGTTGCAAGGCAAAATCGTGATAATCGAATTACTTAATAACCATGCCTAAAAATTCACAGGACACACAAATAGTAAACCAGTAAAATATTTCTCTATTTTGATGTCAATGTATGTATTAAAATGTTAATCTAAAACAATATAAATTCATAAATACTAATATAAAAAAATTATAAATACAATTGATTAATAATTTTAAGTAAAACATTAGTAATCTAGTATTATAAAAAATTAAAGTATATCACCTTTGATTGATTTAATTTATAAAAACTTTTATAAAAATGAATTAATACTATTAATTAATAATTTAAGTAATACTAGTAATATAGCAACATTTAAAATAAATAAACTTTTACTTAATTTCATTAAAAATATATTGTATTAATAAGATTAATATTATAAATAAAATAATAAAAAAATTAAAGTATATCACCTAATATCAATTTGATTTAATTTATAAATACTTTTATAAAAATGAACAAATACTATTAATTAATAATTTAGTAATCTAGCAAAATTGAAACTACATTTTATTTTATTCCATTAAAACATATTGCATTACATTAAGCTACTAATATTAATAATGTAAATCATACTTTGATTAATTTGGATAAATATCTTAAATGTAGTGATTACAATAGTTTAACTTAATATAGACAAATACTAAAATGAAAATTAATAAACACTATTCATTTACAATTTAAGTAATACTTTAGTAAGGCACTCAAATTTAAAATGACATTCTACTTAATTTCATTAAAAGACCTTGTATTATATTAATAATATTCATAATATAAATAATACAATTTAAGAAATGTAATGAAAGTATAGCATCTGATTAATTATATTAAAGGGGTCATATGATGCGATTTCAAGTTTTCCTTTCTCTTTGGAGTGTTACAAGCTGATTGTGCATAGATAAAATCCCTGAAGTTGCAAAGACTAAAGTCTCAAAACCAAAGAGATATTCTTTATCAAAGTTAAGACTCAAGGAGGGGGCTTTGTAGAAAACGAAGCGTTTGAGAGAGGCGGGGCATAGAGGACCTACAATAATGTACAGTATTTGAAAAATAATGTGTTTTTTGAACATTAAAGCATGTCAACATATTATGTTACACCAAATACACAAAATAATGATCTTTAAAAAAGCATCATATGACCCCTTTAATATAGATAATACAAACATCTATTTTATATATTTAATTCATGATTTGTCAAATTATGGGATTGTCTTCTCGATGAATGCATGCAATGCTGCCTTAAAATCTGGCTAAAATGAGGCATTTTAGTAGACAGCACAGTCGTTTTGGAACAGCCTGGGATGCACCTAAAATGCTTCCTCATGATGGCAGCTCACTGAGTTTTGGAACAGAGCCTCTATCTCAGCCTGAGCTGACGTCCACGCCACAGGTCTTCCCCAGCAGCAGGGGGCAGTATTGAGCACACAGATGTGTGGGGGTGTACATACCGACACATGTTGGCACAGTGCCGTTCCATTGGGCCAGTGTGTTGGGCACTGCCTCACATCTGATGGCACTGGCACCATGAAGAGTGTAACCTGGGTTACACTCGAAAAGCACCACCGTGCCCAATCCAAAGTCATTCCCAATGCGCTTCCCGTAGCGAGGCTCGGGCACGGAGCTGCACTGGGAAGCACTGGTCCTCGGAACAGCTGCAGAAACGCAAGAAGAAAAAACAAATATATACTGCCAATCAAAAGTTTGGAGTCTGTAACATCTTTTACACATACAGAGTTATTTACTACATACAGAAAACATGTTGTGCACAGTGTACATATTGCATACTGCAAAAATAGCACAAGTAACCTTAAGTTTACTAGAGATTAATTGAGAAGTACAAACCTTGATACACAAAATGAAACCCTTTAGCTGTGTTTGGTCCCTCGGTTTTGAACCTGATGGTGATTTCATTGGCAGAGCTCAGCGGCAATGGCTCTCCTATCAAAAGAGACGAGAGCAGTCCAAAGGTCTGAGACTATGAGTGAAAATGTGTGTTGCATCCTTTTAAATTTTAATACATGTTTTATTACACATTATATACAGAATCAGCATAATTTACGTAAAAAATTGAACAGAAAAAAATTAACTTTTGGGGGTAATGCTTTAGTAGTAACACGAGATACATAATCAGATTACTTTTTTTCAAGTAACTAGTAAAGTAACATTACTTTAAAATTCACAACAAAATATCGGAGTTACTTTTCAAACAAGTAGCTACAAAAATGACTTTAGTTGAACATCACATTTGTGCGTGTTTTTTGGGGGGTTATATACACTGTATATTATATGGTTATATATATATATATTAGTGGTGTCAAAATTAGCACGTTAACACAGGCGATTAATTTTTTCAGTTTAACGTGTAAAAAATATTTACCGCAATTAACGCAGGCTAGGGTTGGCCACCCCACTCACAACTGCTGCTTCTGTCACTTTCTTTTTCTCTTGACAAGAAGAGCATTTATTCAGTCGCAGAACGACTTCAGTGCCAGGCGCGAGTCAAACGAGCGCGGAAAAATAAACGGCTGTTCAATTGCAGGCACAAAGGCGCCGGTGCGCACTGCAGCCTGTATCCTTTCATATCAAAGCACGAAATAAACTACGTGCATGCAATGTCGTGGTCAGTTAAGTCACGAAGTTACCAAAAAGGCGATTAAAGCTGCCTTAAAACTGTGCATGCATGTAATATATTTTATACGAGTCACATTTAAGAACAAGAACATGTCTCTGAAATGGTTTTCAAAACTGTCCTGGAGCAGCCCAGCACTGTCGCACTCATCTAACACACCCGATTCAACTCGTCAGCTCATTAATAGAGACTTTAAGACCATGAAGTGGGTCAGAAAAGGTAAAAAGAGTTGAGAGAAAATATGATGCGTGACAGATCCGCGTCACGTTCTCTCAATTATACTGTAATGTTGAATGGCTATAGTCAATGGTTAAATATTGGGGGGGGGTACACACACACACAATATAATATAATGCAATTGAGCATTAATCTAAATTAGAGTGACTAAATTAGTCTAAATTAGCCATGTTTAGTATGTGATATTTAACATTTAGTATATCTAATATTAAATATAACAATAATATAATATTCTATTATATGTTTTATATTATATATTATACATTCATTCATTAATTATATTTTTTTACATTTAGATTTTACTAGATTACTAATGATGATAATATATAATATAATATAATATAATATAAAAATTATATTATATTATATAGAAATAGTTCCGAATCTAAAATTATTTCTTTATTTCAGAACAAAATCCTAACAGTTTATTTTCAGATTTAAATGGCGAAAAAGTCCCAGATTTTCAATTTGGTCCCAGCTGCATGTCAGAAGCACATTAACAACAACACGACATTCAGCGCAGCGGAACAGTTTTGGGAATGAGATCTGACTGCGGCAGTCCTTCATGTAGTTCAATGTCATCTCGTCTCGGCAGACTTGCCTTTAGTTGGCCTCACGCAGTGGCGGTAAACAAAGCCTTTTACCTGAGTGAGAGCGGTGCGCAGAGGTGAGGAGAGCAGACTCCGTCGAGGGCCCGTCAAAGATCTCCAGCACATCACTAGGGGTCGTCTGGAAGAACATAAACTGGCCGAAGAGAACTGTAGTGAGAAACAGAGGGGAAAAAATCAGTCTTCTTAAAAAAACATTCGCTGTTGTTTACTGGCCGTAACTCATTTGCTTTAGTATATAAGACCTGATTACTGTGTATTTATATCCATGCAGGTCAGTGTAGCATCTCTACAAATTTTTCATCAGCTGGCATCACTTCCCAAAGGAAGATTTTTTTTTTTTGCTGAGATGTTGCTCTTTCATAGCATGAAATCGAGTCAGCTTGAAATCAAACATGACCTTATTTACTTTATAATACATGTAGACAAAATGAGTTAGTGGTAAGTCACCGCTGGCAAGATGAGGGTTGAATAAGAGTTGGCTATTAATGCAGTGGTAACGCAATTTCTTTCTTTTTTTTTTAAATCAGTGCTACATGAATAGAGAATAACAGCTGTGGCAAAAAAAAAGTAGGAAACTTCAACACCCACAATGCACTGGGCTTCATCAGAATATCTGTGAGTGAGGATGCAAACATGCAGAGGTACGATCTGTAGTTTTGATAAAACTACAGCGGGCAAAGGTTTGTATGATTTATTTACTTTATTTACTCGTATAAAAATAAAAAATAACCATATAACATTTAATTCATTAATGATGCATTTATTTTTATTCTTCCCAATAAAATAATATCAATTTTATTACAATTAATTTATATGATAATACTATTCATGCATTCATTCATTCAGAAATGCAACTGATATATTAGACATCTCATTTGTGATGGTACTTCTATATGGGTTGAAGGCGTAACAGAAATGGCGTTGTCTCTTATGGCTTTCAAAAGGGACCTCGGGTGAAACAAGTAGTCCTAGAGCTAATAAATCTTCCAGTATATGACACCTTCGACAATATAGCTCGTATTTCTGTCCCCACTTATAGCAGTGCTCCCAACACAATCATCACTTATTGAATTTAACAGTAACCAACCCTACCGAAGTCACAGAACGAAAGCCCTAACAAGTGATTCAAACTTTTGCAGGGAAATGCAATAAATTAATATTGCAACTCTAAATAAAGCTATAAACCAGCAGAGGAGTCGATACTCAAACTCTAAAGAGAGTAAGTGAATCTGGTTCGCCCAAGGGCCTCGCAACAGAGTCTGCCTTCAGGCAATCACCGTACATTAGACAGATGATAAAACACTATAGAACACCAGAGCACAAGGTGAGAAAAACAGAGCCATATGTTTGTCATTTCCTATGAATAATTCACAGTCAAACTTGCTCGCTCTTTTTACTTTCAGGCATTTGAAAGAAATATATTTCCTGTAATTGGACGAGGTACGGTAGTTGCACAATTGTTTAGTTTGAAAGCAGCAGCACATATTAAGACAATTTCAGCAATAAATGACGATAACCTGAGTAGGTAATGCAAAGAAACACTCAACTCACACAAAAATAACTGTAAAATAACAGAAAGTACTGGCAGCTCATTATCGGGACATTATCTATTAATTTTACTGACAACCCTAAAAGAAGTGCAAAATTCAAAATACAAGTTAAAAAAATACCTGTAAAAAAATTAGTGTAACTTTCTATAAATTGAAAATAAAAAATATCACAAAATGTAATACTTCAGTTTCATTACAAAACAATTTTCTTAAACTTTTTCCAGTAAAAATAATAAAAACAGGACACATTTAGGTAATACTAATATTATATCCTTAAATATATTTTGCTTCTTAAAAAACATTCTTATTACAATTTAAAATCACTGTTCTCCATTTGAATATATTTTCAACAATGACATTGAAATGTTTCTTGGAAGCAAATCAGCAAATAATTTCTAAAGGATCATGAAATCAAGAAAATACAGCTTTGCATCTCATGAATAAATTCTATAGTTGTATAGTCTATAGAACAAAAAAAATAGTCTATAAAAAATCCAGTGTGTTAGGAAAAATATCCTTTATTCATCAATTCTATGTTGCCATGGCATAAGGTCCCTACTCCAAAGCAAGACTGGGATTTTCCACCCATTTTACTTTTTGAAAAAAAAGAAAAACTAATTGTTTTTTTTTTATAATCACAAGTTCACTCAGAATGTTAATGACATATTCACATAGCTTTGTCTCATGAATATTAATATGGTGAGTTCAACACTGCTAGGTGAACTTCCCGGAGTGCCCAGTCATGAACTAATTAATATTCACGAGATCCAATATCCATTTAAAGTTTGCTTAAATATTTTTACACAACCATTTTCCTTATTTTTATACACATTTCAATATATGCTCATCTCCAATATGTATTAATTTGGCTATCAGGTCTATGGAGGCATATCTGCAGTTCAACAATTAAACATCAAATTACAGTACACTTATAAAAAAAACAATTGAGCAATAAAGTTTTAATTATTTTAAAATAATAAAAAAATAACCAAATAGATAAATGTATTTAATTATTGATACACAGTTTTTTTTATTCTTTGCACTATAAGTTAGTAGTTACAAGTGTTATTGTAATCTTATTTATTGATTGATTTATGCATGCATGTATGCATTCAGAACAAAAAACAGTTTACATCTTACAGACATGTAATTATAAATTACAATGACAAATAACATAGCTTACAAATGAAAACTCTCAGTATTATTTAATAGCCACATCAACATTTTTAACAGTATCTTACTGGTCCAAAATCCAGCTTTTCATAACTGAGTGTTAAACATTAATCACCATCTGATCAGCTGTCACACGTCACACATGTTCACTGTAAACAGACAAACTACTTGATGCATTGTGTTTTTACTAATTACACCTCATATATCAGCTCCTTCTGTAGCCCCCTCTATTATCAGCAGTCAATAACAAGCCCTCAGTGGGAGCGTACGACTTCTGGAATTAATATTTCAGCGAATGAGATGCCAAAGTCCCTTTCGGGCATGTGGTTTGGCAAGCTTATACAATCTTATTATAATACAGGTACAGGATATTAGTCAACAAATCAATACCATGCATTCACTGCACGACTAATTCTGACGGACACAAAAGCTGCTGACTAATTGGCTCTTCTGTCGTTTGTTATACAAGAACCATGTGGTGTTTGATCGTCACACAATGTCAAATAAGTAACATTATTCTCCACATGCTCCGTACGGAGGTCACACATGCCGTCTGGTTGGACATTACCGTCTCCTGAGGACTGGGAAATTCAACGCAATGCAGGACCAATCAAAATGATCTGAGCTCGACATTAACACAAAGATTCGAACATCTCAGGGCCTCGTCAACGTTTAATGGCTTATTAAGTAAAGGAAATGGCACTGTCGTTGGCTAGGCAACCTCTTTCTTTCTCGACAAGGAAAGCGAAGACCATTAAACCAAATCTAGGAGACATCTTTACAGTTGAGGTCACCATTGTGATCTAGAAGGGTAATGGTGAACGGCTGTTCTTGTCCTTACCAATCTAACTGCGCCTCCAGGCTTTTATAGTGCTAGGTGATTGTGTGTTAGACCAGTGAACAAATAAATCAGCGGTGGCTCTCAGCGAGGTTTCTTTTCAGGCAGAATCTGCTGTCTAAGATGAAGATGACTAACAAAAGAAGCTACTTTTTCAGCTGCCTTGTTTTCAGACGTATTTTACCCATTCATTTCTTTCCATAGCATTTCAGAAAGATCCATCTATCTATCTATCTATCTATCTATCTCTGTCTGTCTGTCTGTCTGTCTATGCTGTCAAATGATAAATCGCGATTGATCACATCCAAATTAAAAGTTTTTATTTACATAATATATCTGTGTGTACTGTGTATATTTATTATGTATATATAAATACACACATACAGTATATATTTTGAAAATATTTACATGTATTTACATGTATATATTTATATTCATATAATATATAAATATATTTAATATATAATCGTAACATATTTTTCTTAATTATATACATGCATGGGTGTGTATTTGTATATACATTATAAATATACACAGTACACACACATACTGTGAACAAAAACTTTTATTTTGGATGAGATTAATCGCGATTAATCGTTTGACAGCATATATATACAGTATACATATACAGTATATATACAGTGGGTACGGAAAGTATTCAGACCCCCTTAAATTTTTCACTCTTTGTTATATTGCAGCCATTTGCTAAAATCATTTAAGTTAATTTTTTTACCCAACTACCTCATGGCTCATGGTAGATCTGTGTTGAATGGTTTAAACACTATCTAAAAGCCACTTTCTCTACAGACAGAATAAATGGTATTGTACTTCCAGGAACCCAATTGCACTCTATTTACAGCAGTAAGAATGAAGTCTTATGCAAGTCTGTGATTAACACGTACACTCAAGGTTAAACTACTGCAAAATTGCCCATCACATTATCCACATTATTTCCTGTACAGTGAGGAGTACAAACATAAAAAAATGTCAAAAATAAGGTCAACACCATACGCTCCTTCAACAACAGAGAGTCAGCAGGTGGATTAGAGGCTAACTAGACCTCCACGCAACAATGAAGGGAAGAAAGGAAAAGGCCTGGAGCTCAAGCTGTAGCCCCATCCACGGGGAGGCCTGGTGCTACGCCTCAATGCTAGCACACTACAGAACTTCAAACGCTCGCAGAAAACATGGATATAAACCCCCACCGCTTTGAAACATACTCCGTCAATTATTCAAGGCGGCGCAACAGACAGTAACAACAACAATAACAAACATTTGTGCTAGCAAAGCAGCGGAGAGCTGAAAGTCGTATTGCCGCAGTTATAACTCTGTGACTCATCTCTCTGGAGTACGATTCTTCTCAGCATGTTCCCTGCTACTAACCCATCAGGCTAGCCGCAGGCAATGTTCACGAACCCCGACGACTTGCTTTCCAGCGACAATGAAGAAAAAATTTCGCACTAAAACAACTCGAGAGTTAATGCTTTAGATGGTCCTTGGCCCTCATCGTGACTGCTGGCCCCCACATCGGTTTAAAGTGCCCATATTATGCTCAATTAAAAGTTCATAATTTAATTTTTGGGGTC